AGGAAGGTCGGCAACTTCCCTAGTAACTTCCATATGCTTATCCAAGTACATATGTCATGCACCACCGATAATATAATATGCGATCATTCACACCTTTTGCGATTCTCTTGGCCTTTTTGAGGATGTGGAATTGTCGACATGGCTCTTCGAGGGGGATCAAGTGGTATTTGTTTATATGTTGGATAGACTCGAAGGGATTTTCTTGACAAGGAAATGACCGTTCGTGTGTGCCAAGTAGCTTAGACAAAGTCTCCTGCTTGCCTGCATGCAGGGTAATAGATCACGCTTGGAAATTCAGAAGGTTTGATCGATAAGTGGATTTGGTTTTTATGTTGCATGTCTCTATCTTTCTTACAGAGGTAATCAAGAATATAAATAAAACACATTAAGAAATTAAGATTTAATTTTAATATAAAAAAGACGGAAAATACTATTATTATTAGAGAATTTTTTTTTATTAAGATTAATGGATTAAATTTAATTATAAGGTTTGTATTCGATTTAATTAATCACCTTAATCAATTACTTAGTGCTTGCGTTATGTTGTTTTATGTTTAGGCTCTGACTATTTTGACTAAACTATTATCCTTCCTCAGACATGTGTTGGCCAACAAGATTTTGCATTTTTTTTATTCGACATACACGCATTTCAAAAAAAATAAAAATAAAAAATCGGACGGTCGTAGTTCAAAAAGTATACAGTGAACAATTATTTAATTAAGAAATTAAGAAAATAGTCCGGCCTGGCCTCCATCTTAGTTGGGTCATGTTGATCTAGTGCCACTTCTCCCCTGTCTTTAATGCTGGACTCAACTTCTTATTAACAATTACTAATTAATAATTAATTCTGCATTACTGAATATTTATTCCTTTCATATGTCAACTGACCATTAAGGGCCATACCTCCATTGCGTACACAAACACGAAGAATAACAAAGAAGTGGTAAAGGAAATATTACACCAAATTTGAAATTATTTGTCAATTAATATCAATGATCATTTCTCTCAAATTCAAGGCAACCTATGTGTATCGTATATATTTTTCAGCTAAACACAACCACCAACTCTCTAATTCTAGGTCTAGATCTAGGCTAGGAGCAAATAATTCCTTGTAAATGGGATTTAATAATCTAATTAATTTTCAAGGAATTTATCACTAGTAGATTTGCATCCATAACATCTTGGATTCAAAATATAGATAGGCATCTAAAATATAATTACATGTACAAAATTTAAAAAGAAAAAAGAAAATCTAAAAATAGATATCAATCTCCGAAAAAGAAGTGGAATCTTCTCTTCCATTTATGCGATGAGCAGTAAGTGAAAAAAAAAATTAATTCATATCATTTAAAATGTGGTCAAGGATATTCGGTCCAATCCATCATATGATTCCATTAAACGCAACTCCCATGTACTGTAGTTATGACTGACTTCTCTCATTTTTTTAGTTTCATTTTTATGTAAGTGCTGACGTAAACAAACAATATCCAAAACCCAAAAACACTCCCAAAAAAAAAAAGAGAGAGAGAACGTGACGTCATCTCTCCTACGTGGGTTCCAATGACGATGACGTGTAATTCAAATCCGCCTTGGAACGAAAAAAACTCAATCTCCTACACCCAATCCCACCTTAATTCTTTACATCCCCCATTGACAGCTCCATTCTTTCTCCTCAAGGAAACGTTCCTTAGGTGGCAGTATCTTATTTGCTGTAGATACACTTACATAGTAGATTCGATAGCAGAGGATTGTGGTTTGACTATGACCAAAATAACGAAAACAGTCAACGAAGCCTAAAACTATGTTAACAGCCGACTTTTAAGTAAGGACAAAGGCTGTGACGGAAGCAATGACAGAAGCAAGCACACGTGGCTAGTTCTTATTAGAAGAGTGGCACGTGTGGCACCATCCACAGGCTGCGGTCAGCGAAGTTTAGAAATGAAATCAAAACCATGACAAATAAACTCCCACGTTTTGTCTGGACACAGACAAGGACCCCACGTGTCCTGAAAAAAAAAATTAAAATCATGTTATAGTTTTTTTCGGTCGAGGCCTCTGTCCTTCTTATATAAAGCTCAAGTCTAGCTCTGGGTGAGTATCATAAAGCAATAGCAAAAACAAGAAGAAGAAGAAGCAAGCAAGCGAGAACCAGTAGCTAGAGAGATTCAAGACAAGGAAAAGGAAACAAGAAACCAAGAAAAATTTCAAAGCTGGGAATGAAGGGAAATGGATCAGCAGCAGATCAGTTGGAGTTACCAGCTGGATTTAGATTTCATCCAACAGATGATGAGTTGGTGAATCATTACTTGCTTAAGAAATGTGCGGGCCAATCAATTTCTGTTCCTATTATTGCTGAGATTGATCTTTACAAGTATGATCCTTGGCAGCTTCCAGGTAATTTTTTTTAAGTTCTAGTTCTGGTTTTTTAGATCAGATTGGAGTGATTGAATCAAATAAGAGAATAGGGTTTAGCTCAATTTGTTTGATTTCTTCATTTTTTTAAAATTTTCACCTTCAATTTTTAATAAGTAAGAGATTTTTTTTATTTTGTTTTGGATGAGATCTTCTTTACCATTCGTTTTTCAATGATAAATAGTCGATGGATATTTATTTCTTTAGCTTCATACAATTAAATTTTAAAGATAATAAACCCAGAAAGTTGTCAAAATTTTCTCAGCCATTCACAATTTTCTATGTTTGCCCATCAGTTAATTTGATTTATTTTTATTTTTCACTTTTTAATCTAAACAAGTGGACGAGAAAAATGTTATAAGTAGTACTGAATTTTCGTACAGGGCTTATTGATTTAAGTTGTTGACTAATAATTATCTGGTAATTTTGTGCAGAAATGGCACTTTATGGTGAAAAGGAATGGTACTTCTTCTCTCCAAGGGATAGAAAATATCCAAACGGTTCAAGGCCAAACCGGGCGGCCGGATCCGGGTATTGGAAAGCAACCGGAGCGGATAAACCGATTGGTCGGCCCAAAGCACTTGGCATAAAAAAAGCACTTGTATTTTATGCTGGGAAAGCTCCTAGAGGAATGAAAACCAATTGGATCATGCATGAATATCGCCTTGCTAATGTTGATAGGTCTGCTGGCAAGAAAAATAACCTAAGGGTACTTGCTTTTTTCCCATATTCTCTCCTTAATTTTTTTTTTTTTTAATATCAAAATCATCTTCTTTGGATTTATTCTCGTGTTTTAAAAATGCTAGGTTCTTCTTATAATTTAGTGTAATTGACATGGATTTTATGTGTTATTGCAGCTTGATGATTGGGTATTATGTAGAATATACAACAAGAAAGGAAGCATAGAGAAGAATTTTACTGCTGAGAGGAAATCAATAACAAAATATCCTGAGATGGAAGACCAAAAGCCCAACATCAATGAAATGTCTGGCTACCAGAATGCAAGGTCACAAATTGCTGCACCAACAATGATGATGAGCAATAGCAGTGACTTGTTACATATGGACACATCTGATTCAATACCAAGATTGAACACAGACTCGAGTTGTTCGGAGCACGTGCTGTCACCTGAGATCATGTGCGAGAAGGAGGTTCAGAGTCAGCCAAAATGGACTGATCAGCTAGATAATAATTTTGCCTTTGATTTCAACTTCGATTACATTGACGATGGCTTCCAAGATGACTCGTTTGCTTCACAAGTTCAGTTCCAAATGGACCAGCTCTCTCCTTTGCAGGACATGTTCATGTATTCGCAGAGGCCCTTTTGATTTTTTTTTTTTTAAAAAAAAACATAGGGTTCTTAATGTAGGCCCAATGGCCATTACATTTTCATTTCATAGATAAAAATAGTATATATAGTAGCACATTGTTGTATTCTTGCATGTGGACCAGGACGATCTTTGCCTGGAGTCTGCAAATGTAGGTGACATTTGTGGAAATCTTAGGATTCGTGTGTCAGATTCTGACATGGGAAGAAGAGAAGGTATAGGCTGGACTGGGATGGTATTATAAGAAGTTTGGTGATTCAAGGGTGATGGAACGTCGCTGGATTAATTAGAGCAGGACTCATGTTAATATGTATTTGTAATGATTCTTGTAGGAAATTCTTGTAGAATTGTACAAGAATTTATTTCATTAATTAAAAATTAGTGAAATTCAAGAAACTAAAGAATTTCAAGTGCCTGTGGTTGTTTTCAGTCCATAGCAGCAGTAATCATCTTCCTTTTAATATGTAAATGTAATGATTCTTATTGGAAATTCTTGTAGGATTGTACAAGAGGATTTAATTCATTAACTGAGAATTAGTGAAATTGAAGCAAGTCAAAAGAATATTTAAGTGCATGTGATTGTTTTTAGTCTAGCAGTAGTTATCTTTTATCCTATATAATAAACAAAATAAAGACGAAGAAAAAAAAAAGGAAGAAAAAGAGGGAAGAATGAAAGTGATGGTGATGGGCTTAGGGGGGATGAATATGGATAATAAGCCGAAAGTAAGCAAACATATGCTTTCATGTAGGCTTGACGGAGAATTCAACGTTTGTTTCATTTGAAAAAGCAATAATTCACAAAGATTTTGTGTAACTTGCAAGGTTTGAAAATTGTGGCCGAAGAAGAACAACCACCGTTCACATTTCGTTCCTGCAAGTTGGTGCATGGGGTTGGTGCAGGTGCATCCATAATCTTTACTGTCCATGTTGACGGTTTTGTCAATTTCTACCCAAAAGAGAGAACTATCTTTATTGTGTTCAACCCAACCAGATGATGGTGGGGGCAGAAAGAATGAAATTTCCCACACTTCAGAACTTAAGGATCCAGAGGCAAAGAAATAAAATACTATGGCTCTCATTATTTTATTAAAGTTGCATAATTTATCAAGTGTAATTGTGGGGTATGATCCACCCTTCCGGAAATACATAGTATTACTTTACAATGATATACGAGGTACATAATGTTAGAAGAATACAAGGTTACAGCTTAGCAGCTTTTTGAACAGGTTTTTTTAATGATGAGAACATCTTTCACTGTTATCAAATGATGAAGCTTTTCGATTTAGGAATCCTGTTGCAATTTCCAGGGGCCCATCCAATCAGTTGCTTCTCGTTGTCATAAATCACCACTCTGTCTTGCATTGATATGTCTAATAAAAACCACAGGAAACGAAATTGTAAGGAATTTTAAGTTCAGTGCTTGGATGATAATTTCAATTCTTCAAGCTATGTTCCAAATTATACAGAAAATCTTACCTCCAATGACATTTAGATCATTCAGCCCTACTTCTGTACCATTTAGGATTCCCAAGCAAGCATTTCCCATAGACTGGAAAAATATTGTCAGCATGAGATTAAACCTGAGAAAAAAAGGTAGAAAAACTATTGGAGGGCGGACTTACTGATATTGTAAGGCATGCTTCTGGTGGGAATTCAAGCTGAGTTTTAGATTTTCCGTCATTCATGAAGCTCAATGCAAAGGTCTTGAAGTATTTCTTGACATCACGTACGCTTTTGAAAGGTTTCCGTCCTTTCCAGCAAAGTGGGAGTGTCCTATCATCCAGTGCTTCTCTCAAAGGCTTCGATGATAATTCTCTCTTCATCTGAAAGAAACATGGCATGAATATAAGACACTGAGATTTACGGGATGGTGTCATGTTGGAAGTAATCTGAGTTTCAAACCAAATTGGGAGAAATTTTTGTTTTAAGCATCAGAAGCATATGGCAACGGATAACAGTCTAGAAGCTAGACAATTAAGATAATGTTTGAGAGGGAAATTAAACTGCAAATTAAGGAAACAAGAATCTTTTTCTCGTAGATGTAAAGATTTTCCAATTCAAGAGCGATGATTTCAGGTATTCATAAATATATTGCAAACAACTTAAGGCGATGATTCACGTACTCTGCTCAACTTGTAACAATGCAAGTGCCAGGCTCTTTACTCTTAATGTTACTCTATGTTTGGCTTATTTTATGAGAATTTTTCCCACTCACCAGATAGATTAGACTTTGATACGCCTGAGAGTTAAGGTAAGTGTAAGAGGCCCCACTGTCAAAAGCTATGAACAGGTTTTTCAAACCAGTAGCTTTCCCATCAAAAGTGAGTTCAGCAAATCCAGGTGAATAGTGTTTCCTGCCATGCATGATGAGGATTTACCATAAGAACATAAAGATATAAACCATAAAAGCTAAACTTTGAAAAGATGAAAAGAAATTTGTGAGGTCTAGTTACGCATTGGGTGACATCGGTGTCCAAGCTACACGAGATGAATCATAAAGATCATTGCCGAAGAAGAGGAATCCTCCACCACGCCCACTTAAACAGTGACCAACCACATTTCTCACCAAACCCTGACTACTAAGCTGCGATACAATGGTAGACTTTCCCCTGCCAAGGCCAAGTACTCCATCGATGGGATGATAAGATCCGCCTGGAAGCTGATCATATCCACATCTGTTTTGAGAAAGAAAAAGAGAGAGACAGAGAGACTAAATGATTAGGATGAGGAATACTAGCCAACCAAATGAAAACTGTATTGTCTCTCATAATATTTTAATAAAGAAAGAAGGCAAAGCAGACAACCCAAGGGCCAGAACAGGACTCTGGCGAATTTCACTTGTAAAGTTGAGATTAAAGGCATCCCTGACAAGGACACCGAGGGATGATCCACCATCAGCATACTCAACCTCATAGTCACACTGCCCTGGGTTTTCACATCTGTGGTCACCATTGGAGTGCAACGATTGACAAATGGGGTCCTCACAAGCCACTAGATTTTTACTGGGTCGATAATATGGATGAGGTGCCTGTAAATGAAAAGTATTTATCGAAAGAATATAACATCAAGCATAGAATATCAAAACTAATTAGAATCACACGTAAGTTTGAATTACAGTGATAATTGCGAGAGCTAATACAATCTATTGAGCAAACATTGGGAAAATTCCCTTTGAGGAAGCACAGAAGTTAACAGATTTACCATGAAACAAGTAACAAAGTTGTGTTGATTAAAACCACATCAATCAAAATTGGATAAATAAATAGGGAGTAGTCATACCTGAGTTGCAGCATCATAGGATAATTCCATCCTTCAGGTTTAACTTAAGCCTCAAGGACAAGATACATACTAACTCTCAGACACCATAGTGACCATGCATGTTTGACTATTTGATCATATGATCAACATCAAGAAGTGAATACTAAATGAATTCTTTTTTCTTCATAATTTGTCATTAAATTGGTTGAATAAAACAGAGAAAACCAGTCATAATAATTTTACCTCTGTGCATTGGACACAGGGAGCATCACATTGGAGCCATGTAAGGTCACTTCCAGTATCTACATCAAGAAAGTAGGGCTTTGGTGGTTGCCCAATGTTGAGGGTCACATTATAGAACCTACAAAATGAAACTCTGTGAGTTTAGAAACAAACGAATAAGTTCAAGAAGGTCCAAACAAAGCCTATGCAGTTACAGTCCAGACTCCAGAGGAACCCAAAAACTCCATGAATTACTACGTAACTATCCATGAAGGTTCTGAAATTTCAATTGATAAACTACTAAAAATAAAAAACAAATAAATTCCTGCAAGAAAATCTTGGAATCATGAAACATAGCTAAATCCTAAATAATCATAGTTGGCAAAGAAACAAGGAAAACAACAAAAAGTCAAAACCCATTTCAGTCAAGCACTTACCCAGTAGGATAGACATTCCCATGAAGTGGTAAGACAACGGATGATGGAACTCTATTGATCAACATTGATGAAGCCATTGTTTCACCTGATATCATAGCCTTTCTCCACCTTTGCTGCTTATCATCACTAGCAGCTGATGACCCTAAAATCAAAACTAGCACTAACACCCCCACCACCCAAAAACCCCCTGTTCTTTTCCCATTCTCTCCCTTTGACAATCAGTGAACGGTTGTTCCTGATACTTAATTAATGCACTACAGTTATTTGATAAAATATCTGAATGAAAACAAAGACTTAGTCAATTCACTTGTTTCGGTTGATTTGTGAAAGCCCATATGAGTCCACATTCGGTTTTTATTGACATGGGGTCTTTTGCTTAGCGAATAAGGATTCATGGGTATTGCTTCGTTCTTCAAATGTGGAGTTTTTTTAAGGAACTTTTATTCTTTTCCTTGTAAGAGATGGGATGATCACGTTGGTGGATTTTGAACTAATTCTTTTTTGGGAATAAATGTAAAGGCAACTAAAAGAAATTGCAGGAAGTTAAGGTATCCAGTTGCCTTTTCATCAAACCACAAACACAATTGTGTGTAATTGATGGCAAGGCATATTCAGATACTCTGTTTTAGCTGAATTATTATGGCAATTTCTTGGAAACTTCCATGATGTAGAGATCAGCAACAAAGCCAAATCAATAAAATGGCAAGATCAATGGTGTAGTTTCCAAGCCTTAGGATAGAGTCATATTGACTTCTCTTTTGTTTCATGAGTAAACTATTATTTAATCCCTAATCTTTTATTGAAACAATTGATTAATCTCTTTAGTTTAAAAATCCCAATATTGAATTCATGTTTTAATATGTTTTTATATTTGTTTGTAATTTAATCCTTCCATTACTTTTCTATGACAATTCTTTGTTGTTTTTTTCCTCCCTAATATCGCTCATTTCTAGTTAAATTTTTTAATTTTATCTGCCACAAACAAAACTAAAATTGCCTTTTAAAATAGGTAATTTGGACACTGAAACATAAGTAACAGTCGTTAAGCAATTAGTTTATATTTTTCAAAACTAGAAGGACTAACTACTAAAATCATAAAAAGGGGGACTGCATCATAATTTACTCTAGTTTCTGTTGCCTTGGATTGTTTCATGACAATTTTTTTTTTTTTTTTAATTTCCCTTATAGCTTCACTTGTAACTTTCTTGAATTTGGTGTCTATTTTTGCACCAGGAAAATATCACAATTCCTTTTTTATTTTGCACTTTTTTTTTTCAAAAATATATGGATCACTCTAATTATGTTGATTTTCTTTTACAAAAATACTTTTTTTCTTTTTTTTTCTTTTTTGAGAATCTTTTAGAAATTACTGTTAAAGTAAAGTACTGTTAAAGTAATTTAACATGTAGTTTTACAATGAAAGGAATAATACAACTAATGATATGAGAAACAAAATAAAAAAATAATGCAATTATAATTTTTCAGTTTTTTATTAAATTTTTTATATTTATTTTGTATAACTATTACGTACAACGGGAGGTTCATGCACATGACTAACGGTTGGAAATTTGAAGGCAAAAAATGATGCTTGTTGGATGGAAGGTGGACCATGTATTTACTCATGATTATAACAAACAATTAAACAAAATTAATTTTGGTAGATAGGACCACTATCGAAGACCTATATATGATAGTTGTAGGGTTGGAATGCAGTTTGTTTGCCCTTAAAATTTAAAAAAAGAAAAAAGAAAAAAAAAGGTGAATCGGATGAATGAAATTAGCAAACCTTATGTAGAATTGATTGAATGAATAGGACCCTATTTAAAGAATATTGGAGGTCCTAGTATATCTGATCTTTGCTAACCCCTTTCGACTTTCCGTTCACCCATCGTTAGTAACATACTTTAGAAAAACAGTGGCTTGGGTATTAATAACACGAGGAAAAACAAGACTCACATAGACAACGTGTCGTATGAAATACAAGCAAAAAAACCCCGTGCTATTCGGGTAATGTACGAATAGACTAAGTAAAAACTTTCCAAGTTATCGATGGTTGAAGTGTGGATGTTCCTATCAACTAAGGGAACCAAAAGCTCTTTCATCCAATGAAGCTCCGCTCCTAAAACTCTCTTTGTCCCATCAACAACAGTCTTATCATCACACAAAAGTTGTCAAATTGCAAACTATGAACAATGAGAACACATGTCCCCAAGTCGATGTCATAAACCGGTGGCAGTAAGACAACAGACTTTATTATTTTCTCTCCATAGAATTTGAATAGACCTTTACCTATATAAGAACTCTAAAAACTATGGATTTCATGTTCTAACTTTCTGACTAAAAAAACACTTAATTTTAGTGTTTATTATCTTCTAGGTACTCATTTGAACACACAATAGCCTATTCAGGCATTCTCTCTTTCTATATACTTACTCAATCATAGGAGGATCTCTTAATCAATAAGATAAACTTATTTTGTAAGTGTTTTGAGTGGATAATTAGGGATGACAATTTGCCATATCTTGATCAACATGGAGATTCCTCGAGTTGATCGGGGAATCGGATGGAGCATTGCGTCCCATATTTAATTTGAACAAGATGGAGTGGGGATGGTATTTGCTCGTCCCGCTCATTTGCCCCGCTCTATCCCTAAAATTATAATTATACCTTTATATAAAATATGTGACTACTCACTATTAGGATTTATTTTCTATATAAACTATCTTTTTTGCTATAGTTTGAAATTTTATAGTAAAATGGAGCGGAACAAGATAGTAAAATGGAGTGGGGATGTTATGAGAAATATTGCCCCCACGAGGGGCACGGGTAGGGACGGGGCAAAATTTTTAAGGGCGGGGACGAGGATGGCCATCCTTGCCCCCGCCCCGCCCCATTACCATTCTTAAGCGGATTGAATCATCATTGGTCATCAATGCTCACTTTCCCTTCAACCACACAAGAGACACATCATCACCATATTTTTTTGTTTGAGGTTTTCAACTTCATCAATGGCGCTATCTATGGAGAAGAAGGCTAAAAGTCAATCCCTAATATCAAATTTAGTTATATGGATAAAAATCAAGAAATACTAGGTCATACTACTACATTAGATTTTGCTAGTCCTAACACTAAACTCCGTAGATGTGCTTCAACTATAATGAAGCATCTAGAGGTTGATAGACATAATTTTGGCCATCCAAAAATATGCCAAAAATGGACTAAAACCTTAATCACTTTGCCATAAGCACTCGAGGTACCTCCACCAACCCTACATCTAATGGGGAATCCTCAATCGCCTCTATCACAAAACTTATGTATGCACTTTTCCTTCAAAAAAAGTTAGGGAATACAATAAGAGTGAGAACAAAAAAAGAGAATAACTACAACCTTTCGATCTTGAAATCGGTTACACTTGCTCTTGCAAGAAATTATTGGTTAGCCAAAATTTTGAATGGAGGAATATAGTGGAGGAATTGGATTCCCATCAAAACCAATAACATCGCCGGAAGAAGTGCCATGAAAAAATTTGCATTCAAGTTGCCTTCACCAATTCTAAGCTAAAACGACTTCGGATAGTAACTACATCACCACTCGCCCCCACTCATACCGAGTAGGAAGGTACCCAAAGAGTTTATCTCTACGAGAAGACGTGCAAAACATTAGAGAAACCCTCAAACTTATGCTCCGAGACACACAGTATTTGTAAAATGCATCCCCATACCTTTAGAGGAATTGTACAAAAGTGGTATAACCATTTAGACTCCGAGTCCGTACATAATTTCAAGGATTTGTACTCCTAGTTTGTGATGGAATTTTCCATCGAATTCTTCCAAAAAAGCTTTTAGGTTTCATAATTAGATGTCGAAGATAGATGACCTTTTAGAGTCCGTTGTCGTGGATGCTCTCATTGTAGGGTTTTTGGCATAAAATTATAGAAAGAACTCGTATGAGCTTTTGAATAATAACTTTACTTGGATGAAGACAACCATAAAGAACCACATTTAGGTAGATAATTTTTGGGATTGCCGGACTAACTTTACATTAAGAAATGAGATAGAATGACTAATGACCAAACTAACTCAAACAATTCATTAAAAAAGAAGAATAAAGAAAACTCTAACAAGACTATCAAAAATTGGCTAAATAGCAATGGAATTTATTGATCGATGTTAATCTATCGCTAAATACAAAGCAAATAGTAATAGAATAGCGATTGTATAATTTAGTAACAGATTATAAATGAAATAACAACTATTTTTTAATGACGAGACACAAATCTGTTGCTAAATTTGGTGGCAAAATCTTTTCGGGAGTTTTAGAGATCGTTTAGTGACGAATCGCTAGAAAAAATAACGACGCACTCGCTACTTTCATTCTAATTATTTAAAAATGGAATATAATTCACTAAATGATAGATTCCTCACAATTTAGCAACAAAAAAAATCTGTTGCTAAAGGAGAGATTTTGCGCAAAATTGAACGGACTTTTTAAAAGATAAAAACTACCTAATTTGTGACGGATTAGTGACGTAACTTACTTTCGTCGCTATATGAGAAAAAATATGCAGCCAGCTATTCAAAGTTGGTCGACATTTTGATATAGATCAGCGACGGACTTAAGTGTTCGTTGCTAAATAGTAATGAATTAGCAACGAAATAACATCCATCACTATTTTTCAGCCCTAATTTAACCCTTTTCTTCTTCCTCCTTCCTCATTTTCTTCTCCCTCTTCAAAACGAACCGTTATCGCCGTTCTCCTACCCCTTCAAACCACCACCATACTCCACTCCTCCACTCTCATTCAATCCACACTCCCTCCAAGGTCTTTCCTCAAAAAAAAAAAAACAAATTCCCTCATATTAGCGTAATTCCACCCAAATAAGGTATGTTTTTCTCTCTTTTATTTTCTTATTTAAAGTTAGTAATTTATTATAACTATTAGGTTAATGTAAGTTTAATTACCAAGCTTACGATATATATATAACTATTGTTGATTTATTTGTTAAATTCTTAATTTAAATTTAATCGGGATGGTTTTTTAATTAGTTAAGTTAATTTTATTTAAATTTAGTTAATCAATTAGGTTAATTATATTTAACTAGTTGAATTATAAATTTATTTATATTAGAAATGGTTAATTAATTGTTAATGAAAATTTAATTTGGTTAGAATTAAAATTAATTAAGTTAATTAGATTTATATTTAATTAATTAATTAGGTTAATTTTATTTACTAGGTTGAATTTAAACTTTATTTATATTTTAAATTGTTAATTAATTGTTTTATAAAATTTAATTTGGTTCGAATTAGAATTAATTACGTTAATTTGAATTTTAATTAATTAGGTTAATTTTGTTTGATCGGTTGAATTCTATTTATTTTAATTCATGATAAATTATAATATATTTTTTTGTCAAATTGTTATTCATTTATTAAACTGTTTCAAATGCTATTTTTGAGTCATGTCTCGTGGATTGAGCATATTTGGTCGCAATGTCAATGGTCGTAGCTCTAATGTTGACCGTACAACTAATAATAATGGTGTATATGGAAGTGACAATGCTAATCCAACTATCCGGAGTTGCAAACTTGATAATGGTGTCGATACGTCCGTATCCCTTCTAGTAGTGCCCTTCGTTGTGGATGATCCCACAACGATTTTCTTGACACCAAAAAGTTCTACCGCATTTGATGATGGACGAATCATTTAGGTCATGAATAACTAGTAACTAGTATGTTTTACATACGATAATTAGTTTTATACTTTTATTTATTTAAATTTAATTATTAATTTACTTATCTATTATTCATTTGTTTTGTTTGATAGTTTGGTTCCATCTATGTACTAATTAAGGTCGAATGATAAAGTCCGACATGGAGGCGGTACAACATCATGCTTTACAAGATGAAGCATAAGGATAACAAACCTATCTTTGTTAAATAGAAAGTGTGAGAAGCATGACATCCGGATTCGGCCACTCTCGAGTATCGAGCCCGATCTCGGCAAACATCTTGAAATCGTATGTTAGAAGGGTGGTATCGATGCTACCCTATCTAAATATACTTGGAGGGTCCATCTCTTTAATCGAGCATGTTGAACATTTGGTAAATACTATATTATCTATTATGTTATAAATTATTTTTTTCATTTATTTTATCTCATAATATTTTGTATTTTTTTTAGTATCCTAAATTAGGTCATAACCCAAATCCTTACAAGTCTGTTCATGATCACTTACAAGCGGAAGGATGAGACATTTATTGATAGGTGATTGCAAACATTAATGATAATGTCTTATATATATATATATATTTTTAATATATATGATTTAATATTATTATTATTTCAATTATTTAAGAGTGCGTGCAATTAATGCAAGAACTAAGTGTTAAAGAGTGATTGAAGGGTGTCTATTATCTTAAGATATCGACATATCAAATATATATATATTTGGATGCTATAGGAGAGGAGAAGAAGCAAAGAGTATACAACATTAGAACTTATGTGTCTTAGTGTTACTCGTATTCCGATACCAGCTCCTCCCCTGTGATTATATCCTAATGGTAATATCCATGAGGTTTCTATCCGAGTATGACGAGCGGATCAATAGGATGGAGGCTACCATCCATCAATAAGCTAGTCGAGTTAACGGTATTTTGACTCGGCTTGCGAGAGTTATGGGGTTGTTAGAAAACCTTCGGTCGCCTCCCGTCCCTTGTGCCGACCCTCCTATAACCTAACAATCGGTCGTTCCTCTTAACGACTAGCAACTAAAAGATGATATAGGAGATGGTGATAATAAGAACTAATTTTTTAAATATTTTTATATATATTAATGCATTTATATATTTATTTTATTTTATTTTTATTTAATAATATAGCATATTTTAATAAGGTGTT